CCCCCCCACAAAGTTTCACTGTTTCTGATACTGTGTTCTGTTATTTTTTCTGTTGCTTTCAAGTCTACAAGATTGTTTTTGATTAAGACATTAGATGCCTTTAAGTTATTGTAATTGTGAATTTAAGTTATTGATTCTGCCGCCTTTTTACATCTGTTTTCTTTTTTACAAAAGTTTTCTTTTATACAGTGCGGGTCTGAGTATTGTATGGTCAGAAAGAGAACGAGAGGAAAAGCTGGGATCTTTTTAGTGTTCTCACCCTGTGGTGTTAGTTTTTTGTTTGTTTGTTTGTTTTCCCCTAGACTATTACTGTTAAACAAATAAACTGTGCCTGATATATTATTTCAGGCCAATCTGAGTGTCATTCACCCTCAAATACGCAAACTACATTTGTTATAAGTCTGTGTATTTATAAAATCCTGCTGAAAGGTGTTTGGAGGGTTTGTGTTTTGTTCTCAGCTTTCTCTGTACAGCTAGTGAGTGATTGACAGTCCATTGATTGTTTCTCAGTATTGTGTATTATATTTTTTTACATGTGCCCTGTTGCTTTCCAGTCATTGAAAATCTAGTTATGATTTACAAGTATTGCAGTCTGGGTTTTTTTTTCTTTTTTTTTTTTATGTTTAATTTTTCCATTGTTTGCATCTTATTATGTTGGGATCCCCTGGGAATCTATAATAAGTTTTGAAAAATATACACAATCCAAATGCAAGGAAATAAATGCAGACATTTAAACTCCCAAGTTGTTTTCACTCTGCTTTAAATTCCTAGAAGATTGTAGTAATGTTTCTTAAATATTGTTTTATTGCAAGGTAGTGGACTAACAGAGTTGGAATTAAATGTTACAGTGAATGTTAATTATTTTAAACCATATAAATCTACAACTATAATTGCAATAAATCAAATGTTTTTGCTTCTTGCATGGTTAAATATATCTAGCCAATGTAAAACATGTTCATATTCTTGCATATTTTTAAATGAATTTAAAATGTTGCAGAATTTGCATTTTAATCTGTCAATTATATATATATATATATATATACACTAGTGTGCAAAAGTCTTGGGCCACTAGTATTTTCACCAACAAAAAAAAAATAATTTTAAGCCAGTTATTTTTATTTCTTTTGCTGTAGTGTGTCTGTAGGAAATATCAGTTTACATTTCTAAACATTTCTTTTGCCACTAATTGGAATAATGCAGTGAGATTTTTGTATGCACAAGGAGTCTGAGAGCAGCCAGTGCTCCACACAGAGATCTGATCTCACCATCATCCAGTCTGTCTGAGATTACATGAAGAAACAGAAACAACTGAGACAGACTAAATCCAGAAGAATATATATATATATATATAAAATCTCTCTTTTATTTTTTTATTAAGGCCCTTTGTCCCACGTTTGATAACTACAGGTGTATAGGGGAAAGATTGCATTTTAGGGTTAAGACATTTTAAAAATATTTTATTGTT